AGGCCAATAAAGGTGTCATCTAAAAACCTCGTTTGGCAGAAGTATTTAAATATTCGACATCATGCCGAGGTTTCAAGAAGGGACAACGTGGAGATTACTTTCCTTCTGTATTTTTTAACCTTTGGATCAGAATGGATTATTGCCTAAGAAATCAAGCCAAGCATGGTCCGCAGTAGGTTAAAATTTGGCACGATTCCTAGCCGCCAAAAAGAGCTCTAGTTGTGATTTCCTCTTCCTGATGAGCACTTTTTTTACAGGATCAGCACCTTCGGTTTCGTTCGATTTACTGACCCGCATTCGGCTTAGCTGACCCGTAATCCAATTAGGAAAGGAATGTGAAGTTGATATCGAGTGATTACTGAACTAGTGAGCGGACACTGCACTTTACGTGAGGTTAAAGATTAAACTCACATATCTTATCAACTCCGAATGCGGCACGTATTCTACTTCCATTCAAAATCGCGGTGGCTGATTGGATGCTAGATCGCCGACACAATGATTTGCAAGAGCCACGCAAGCCAGTACTTTGCGTCTTTCAGGAAGAAACCACTAACAATTTACCGTCTGTGAAGAAAGAAGGAGACCGGTAACGTGGAGACAAGAAAGCGCGGATGGCCTACGAGATTTGACCTCTAGAGCGCGCGCCTGGTGAGCTGGATACTAGCCACTACACCACCTACCAATACATAGATGTTCTACCAATAGTTTCACCCATCACTGTTACTTTTTTGGAGCAGTTTGATAGAAACTCACTTGATATCGTAAATGTTCGCATTCGAATACTCGCTTGCCAACCAGTCTTGAATTTGACCGATGACAGCTACATTTCACTTCTGTTAAGGCTGCTGGTAGTCGCTGTAATAGAAAAATTGAGGCTAAAAAAATAAGTGCACCAACGATTATAGCTAGTGCTCCAGTGTAAGCTGCAATATTTATCAGCTGCAGTATTACTTACTCTTGGATTGTAGTTGAGAATATATTCGAATTTGCACAACGCTCTTTCTCGTAGTGGAGTCTCAGCGCTGATTACTTCCAACTTCTTACTGTTACATGACGTTGAACTGGTAGTGATTTGTTCGCCATGTCTCAAGCCGTTCAACTTAAACAAATTATACATAGATTGCGTAATGAGCAGGCAGTTTTCGAATGTATAAGACTCGAATTCAGCCCTCATCATGACAAGGACGTAAAAGGGGATACGTCCAGCCCTCTCCTCCCCCCCCCCTGTTCGCTTCATTAATGCACGCTTATTCTAGCTCCATGAAGACAGAAAATCACAGCATAGCAAAAGAGTATAAACTTGCCCGTAATCGGTTACTTTCATGTTATTTTATAGTCAATTCTAACCCCAACAAAAATTAAATGCAGAAATTTAACTTGAACAACGGACAAAATTCATTTAAACAAATATTTACATACTAAACTGAAATAGGTATATTAGCAGTGCCAAATATATACCCCGCTCCCATCCTTCCTCCGTTTGCAATTTCGAACTGCAAGAAATAGAAAAAAAGAAAAGAAAAACATTGTCGCATGCGACAACGCGCGCGAAAAATGGGTGCGCACAGCGACTCCCTCACTGCTTATACCTCAGAAAGTAGGGTTCTGTTTTTCTCGGATAATTCCATGACTTTATAAAAATTTTCCTAAAGCAAAAGGAATATTTCGTGGATTCAGATTATTTGTTGTATAAAAATTTGTTAACCACTACAAATAAATGAAACTGCGGCTGTCACTAGTTCCGATTTACAAGTCTCACTCTGGTGAAACCTCTAAAACTTAATATAAGCTGGCCACAACCCGTTGGTTACCTGTCGTGGAGATATTTCTATTGATCATTACAAGATTTGACAGGTGCTTTGTACAAGGGTTGACACCTAGTCTCAGGAAGATTTGGCTAGTAATGCGATGTAGTCTAATGCACAGTGGCTTGCGAGGGTAAGTGTACGAGTATAGTGTCTTTATTCTCCCAGGTGACATTTGCAGAAATGTCCCCAGGAGGTACAAGGGCTAAATGGTCCGGGTGGGAGCAAATCTGACTTGACCCATGGACAGCGCGCTGACAAGCAAGCCAGCTGCCATCAGGGCACGCTGCACGCTGAATTTTGCAAAGTAAGATCACTAGAAGTTCCTTCTCTAGGACGATCCTCTTTTCCTGTCCTACCATACGCTATTTTGTCCAGAAGTTCTCCGGTCTCTTGGCTTCTCCTCGAATACTGCCTTCGAGCGGGGAGGTGGGGGAGAGGGAATAACGGAAAAAACCAAAAAAAAGTGGACAACCGAAGACCCTCTGAATGCCCTGAGCCCCATTCGATCTCTGGATTTCATCGCTTCGAGGAATGTTTTTAATCAGATAGCCGACTATCTTTGGCAATCTATGTTTAATAAAGGCGATTATTCTACGGAAGTGGGGATTCATTGGATGACGTTGGGTTCAGACATTTTTACAGAATTACGTGGGAGCAGATCTGCAACAAACAGCTCCCGAACTGTCTATCAGTATACCAAATGTCCTGAGACTGGATCGCTCGAAAATTCATAAAATTTAGGAGATATGTTGATCACGCGTCATTTTTTTTTATTTTTCGATTACGAATGGCAGAAGCAGCATGGCCCAATCACAACGGCTCACCTAAGTCATTTGGCAATATAATCAGACTAAATGATAACAAGGTACTCCACTCTATCCTCGCCATAACCGTGGACAGGCATGTCAGTATATTAGAAAGCCGAATAGAATAAATAAAAGTAGAAGGAAAAAACGGAGGAAGCCCAGTCAAGTCTGATCCCTCGTTCAATAAGTAAAGTGAGCCTGACTCACGATGGGCGACTTGGGCGCGGGGCCGAAAAATCTAGCAGTACTGCGAGGGCCGGCGGAACAGTACCACACCTCACTGCATCAAAAAAATCTTGATGGAAGAAGCCTTTGCCGCTGAAGAATCCCTTTTTAAATTGCAGCAGGCATTCCCTTTTTAGAACTGAAGCGGCTTCCAAGTGCAATGATGTACGGGCCAGTGCAGTCTGAGGAAAACAAACCTCCTCCTCCTCTCTACCTCTGAACCTTCCTGTGTCCTAGTAAGCTACTTAAATGATTGTGAAGTCGGTATTTTTATCCTCTAAAATGAGTGTGGTACCAAGCAAGTAGCCTCTGATGCCTAGATACTTTGGTAATTTTGGGAGAGAGCCGAACCGGGATATGGTCTTTATATAGATCGCGTGATAAGGCGGCCCAGGGCACGTCATTGGTTGGGGATTTTAGTCGAGTCCGTACGACCCCCTTTTTTGAGGGTTGGTACGACCCCCCCCTCCGGCCCTCTGTCCCTCCTCATCGAGCTGTCGAGCGAGGTGGGGAGGGGTGCATATAGTACACTAGTACACCTCCTGTTAGAAATTCCCCAACAACGATGTGCCCTGAGGCGGCCTCTCACCGCCTGTGCCCTAATAGGTTACCTTCATAATTGTCTTATTGCATTATATAATTAGATACTGCCCTTATTTCAGCGGGATTAAAGGAGAACAAGTGAGCCAAAATAATCGAAAACTATTTTTAGGCATGTTCCAGGTTATTTTTATCGCCTACTATATGTACTTGCTAGAAGATCAGTGATGTTTATTGGGGTACCGTTGTTTCATTGCTATGAGGTAGACAACTTCGTGCCTTCGAATGAACATGAGTTGTTTACCAGTATAACACATAACTACTGTACGTTTACGAAATGACCACAACACAATAAGTGAAGTCGAATATGTGGCGCTGCGCAAAGCGAGGTTTGAGCGCTCCGAGTTTTTAGGCGGGTCAGGGGCATATTTCTTCACTTTTGAGGAAGACCTTATCTTGAGATCAGAAGATTTATAATTCATTTTAGCGTGATCGTGTGAACTCCTCTGAGGTCTCTTGATCGATTCAGCACCTAAATAGCTTATGCAATCACAGCAACCTAGAGTCGTGATCCTTGCAAAGGAATGGGACGAGGCGTGGATAGATGTGCTGCCAAGGTGGACTTTCCCGCCAATTATGCCGTCCTGATTCCACAACAATTGGCGGGAACGACTGTTTATGCAGCCCGCCGCTCCACTCCACTTCACAGCACTGTCGTTTGGCAGGGGTCATGACTATACCTACACTCCAAGTTTCAGAGCTGGAGAGGGTGTTGTTGAGCGTCCTTCAGTTGAATGTGGCGCCGACCACGCTTTTTGTAGATTGCTGTTTCGAGAGAGCTATGGTCACGTTTTTGTCCTCCACAAGACAGGGTGACAATTGTCTAAAACGGAGCTATTCCGCGAAGACTTCATCTTACACCATGGAACGGCCTATTCATCACTGGGAGCGGAGTGTCGCCTGATTAAGGTGATCGGATTCCCACAAAATTACAACCCTTTCATCGCTTTGAGGTCCACTACATGGCACTGTCCGCGTACGGCATTCAAATTTAATACAAGGGAAAGTTTTGGTCCGAGCGACAAACAGGAAAAACATAATAGTATGGTTTGCTAGTCTGAATGAATTTAAATTAATAGTGTATACAGATGTGCTGATTCTCGCTGAGCCTTTCAGTAATGTCACGCTTTTCTTTACATCTAAACCTGCACTTCTGGTAAGTCCACCTTCTGGTGATTCATAAAAGCTGAGCATCCCATCAAGTGAATTAACTTGTTAGTTTCAATAAGTTGAGATCTTTCTCACGCATGAGTAATCACTGTTCTGTTTCCGGTTGGTAAGCAAATGATGTCAATGATGTGGAAAATAGGTAAAACTTGAGCTAAAGATGATTAGCGCTTCACGCTTCATTCAACTAAGCACTCGGGATACGTGAACAAATAGTGCTGACGTCAAAACATGATGACATTTTGCTATCTGACTCCTTTCCCATCAACTGCCTGCCTCCGCTGGCAACCCATGAATTGAGGACTACGTGCAGTGCACGTGACAATTCTTACGCTTCTCGCATCTCCTAGAATGGTCCCAGTTCCAGCTGCCATTAGACCAAAGATTAACCATAACGTTTTTCGCACTCAAATGAGTAATTAACAACTAACCGAGTAACTGGAAGTCGTCAACGACAAAAATAGGCTATAAGTGCTTATGAGAAATTCGATCAGCGCTCCTGTTCATTAGTAGTCAAACATTGACGCTTTACATACATATTAATAAGAACGACAGTAACTCTCAGAATGAAGTTGACTGTTCAGTGCTTGACTAATGATGCTAATTCACTAGTTAGTGGTTGTTAACTGATAGCGGTACCCAGGTTCAAAACTTATTTAGAGGCAAAAATATGGAGCACTCTGCGTGGATGACCATTTGTTAGAGATGCGCCGTGCATTTGATCCTTTCCTAGAATCACACCGAGATTTTAGTGCGCATACAATACACAACGCGGAAAGCCGCTTTCAAAAGTACTCTCGCTCTCCCGAACATGGCACATCATTAGCGGGATTTTAGTCAAGTCCGTCCATCCCCCTAAAAGGTGGCTTGATACGGGCGCCCCCCCCCGCATTTAATCCTTTTCCAGAAACATACACACTGACATTTTAGTGGGCATACAATAAACAGCGCGGAAAGCTCTCGACAAAAATACTCTCGCTCTCCTAATCACGCCACATCATTAGCTGGGGACTTTAGGCGAGTCTGTTAGTTCCCCCCCCCTCCCGCAAAAGGTGGCTTGATACGGCCCACCCCCTCCCAGTTCTCACCTCAGTGAGCTATCGAGTGGGCAGGGCTGCGTAAAATTACATACTATGAAACAGGAAAAACCCCGAAAAGTCACGAAGCTCTCTCAGAAGGCTCGACGGCAAATACGACCATCTCCCCTCCTCCTCCAGCTATCAAAGCGACAAAAGACACCCCCTGCCCTCCTCCCCTGTTGGAGAATCCCCAATGATGCGTATGCCTTGCCAAAAATCTCTTGTACCAGTTATTACGCGAGGGCCTGGATTGTATCGGGCCGTATCTCGTTTTCCCTATGTACACTCCTCATCCCAGAGACGGAGCAGCATTTGAACATGGCATAGTTTGTTAATTCTTGGAATATTTCAATATGAGATGACGGTTTGTTTCTGTGCACAACTGTCAATGATTACACTGTCCCAAAATGAAAAATATCTCCGAGAAGCTCAGCAGCATCACGTAATCTCAATTACCAGCCACGCTACGCATCCAGGGATTTTTGATAACATTACTATTATGACAACATCGAAATGAAATAGGGCTTCATTGATCAGAAAGTTCCTCCCCTT